CACTGAGTAGGTGTATATGCAATTACGATCTTCGAAGCAGAACCTAATTTGGCGCAATAATTCCGCTTTTTGGACGTGATCGAGGAGCAAATGCAGTTTAAGCAATCAGACACATTAATGGGTATACGATAAAAAAAACCCGCTATGTGAAGACCGTTTAAAAATATTCCCCTACATACAAGATTAGCGATACTGGTCACACTAAGATTCCTAAAGAATTCGAGAAAGGAACGTTGTGTAAAGCTTGTCAGGAATATGTCATTGAAAAAGATGAAGTCACAGAAAGCAAAACAAAATTTTATGATATCTACTCATTTTCCGAACTCACCGAATTTCCGCTTTACTTTGGCCACTTTCGTATACAACATAACCAACGTCTCCAAACTTTTTGAAAAACTCCTTTATAGCCAGCATTGAAGAGTTTTCTGGCAGACCATCCACAGATAAGATCAACCCCTTCACAAAATGGGCATTCACCTCAAAAATTACCATCCACTCCGGAGCAAAACGGTTTAAAGTATCTGTAACTCTGCCATTTGAGAAAATGACTTACTTTTGCTTGCATTTTCTCTGCCTGCTCCGCAATCTTCTTCGCAGTCTTAGCCATCTTTTCAGCTTGACGCTTTTCCTGAAAATACATTCACATGCAAAATTTCCAGAGGGTTTATCTATTTGTAAGGCTAACAGAAGCGACTCGTGATCAGTCACCATTGTAATTGACATGAAGAAAAACCAAACCTTCGTTTCTTGGTTCTTCATACTCCAGTAATCATCCTGCATCATCTTCGTCAATTCAATTTCACCAAACTTTGCGTCATCCTTTTGAGCTTTTTCTGCTTCCTCCCGAGTTTTATATGTAATAAATACCGAACCCTGAATAAAAATGAGATAAGACCGAGTGCTAATAGAAACTATTGACGAAACTGAATTTATAGGCCTACCTTAAATATTCGATCAGGCTTAGTACGACGCATCAGTACGTTTTCAACTTGACCATATTTTGAGGCAAACTTCATGATGTCATCAAGTGTGGTGTTTTGCTCAAAACCTTTCTGAAAACGATGTATCAAGGCGGTGAACGCGGTACGATGTGCAGAAAGGTAGCTAACAAATATAACGTGACAAACTACAACATCAATAAGCTGGGTTTAGATGGGTATCTACAGAAGGTAAGTACTGGGGGGCTTTCCTGACTATAAATCGGTTTCCACCTATCCCTGCTTCCTCGAAGCATCCTACTAAGTTATTTTATCGGGAAATTGGTTCATTGGAAAAGATCATCGCTCCCATCCCCTTGTTATTCTTTTCGGCCAATTCGCTACTTGTGTGTTTAATAGTCCATGTCTTTGTGGTTACTACAAGAAGAAATTGCATATTGAAACAATAATACTTACCATATAAACTGTACAATGTTTAATCTTCTGCCAGTATTCCAAGGAATTTTCTGGAAGAGGATTTCCTATGTTGCGTCGTATTTTGAGACCATCATCTGATACACTAATGATTTCCGACTGGGATGCCTAAATTACACACTTATAAAAAAAGGAGAAGCCAAATTATTTCTTCGATACAGTACCTTGACAGCTTTCGAGATGACATCGACGTCTTTGGTTATGGCAGCCAAACGATTGAATGTCAGGAGGGTTTTAATTGGGACCCCTTAAAAGATAAATGATTCATACTTTCGCGCAATAAAAAAGGCTGTTCTGGAATAAACAAGACAGATAGTACACTTACATCCATCATCATTCTTCATTGTGTCTTGTAGAAACTTATCCCTTGGAAGATTGATATTGCCAAAGTAGTACTGAAATGCGTCAATAAAATAACTTTCACTTTAATAAAACTGCGTAAGCTCCATGATTGCTGTATGACCACCTCAAGTTGCCTTACAACTTTCTCATCAGTGTTATCAGACCCATTGGCAGAAGCAACATTCTCTGTCTCGGTCATTGTGGTGGCCCTAAAAATCGAAGTAAGAACTACTCCACATAAAAAAAAA